AATATTTTATATATTTTATATACACATATTTCTCACTGTGTAATTGAGTTAGGAGCACAAAGGCCAAGCATCGCCTACGCCCAATCAACCAAAAATATTTGCATGTGTGAAAAAAACCTAGCGAAGGCAACATCTATACACGGACAACTACCTCACCTTGGGACCCATAAAGCTAAAGGGTTGCATACAGACACAAACACACACACACACACACACGGATATACACCCACAAATCAAAGCGAAACACGAAAAACAATATGTCAAATGTTATTATACATTAAATTAGTTAAGAGTCATAGTAATAAAATGCACAAACAAACATGTGTAGGTATAATAAAGTTAAATGTCATGAGTGTGTGTGGGTGTGCGTGTGTGTCTATATTGGTGTGTGCGTGTGTGCATGTCACTGGCTTTGCTTGCTTGCCATCTCCTACTAACTCACTTATTCTCTTTCTCTCTCTCTCTTCCCACTGTGTCTGGCTTACTTTCTTATTTCATTGCTTGAGACGTTGTTACAACATTTGCCCAGCAGCAATTTGTCACGTGAATTTCACTTAGTTGTTGTTGTTTTTGTTGTTGTTGCTGTGTCACATTTTGGTTTGTTACTTTGAGCCCAGGCAAAGCCAACAAATTACAACTGTTTCGAGTCACACAAAATTCTGTTGCATGCTTTGAGGCGTTTCCTGTTTTTGCTTTTGGGCGTTTTTACCTTGTTTTTTAGCATTTCTCTTTTGTGTTTACATTCAGAGCACAACAAAACATGACAGAATACAACAAGATTTCTAGATACTTGAATGAATGATTGAATGGAATATTGAGAGCATTCAATGTATTGAATACATTCAACAAGTGATTGTTAGCAAAGATTCATTTAAATTTTAAAATGTTGATGTGTGTTTAAAATGGATAATTCATTTGTTAATTTTTTATAAATTATTTTTAACGAGTTTTTAATTATTTACGTAATATTATAAAATAAAATATTATATTAAACACACTGAAAATAAATTTGATTCAATTAATAACCATTAAATATGCGAATGAATAGCGAACAAATATTTATATAAGAAATTCTTGAAAAATGTTATGCTATGTAAATATACATAAACTTAAATTTGAAGATTAAAATTTGTAAAAAATAATAAATCAGTTTTGCTAATTATTTTTTTTATGTATTGAATTATAAATACGAAACAATATAAAATCTATTTTATCAACTGTAACTTCGAGCTTAAACATGTCTTTGTGTGTGTGTGTGTGCAATTAATAATCATCATTCATTTACTGCAGAAATCCAATGGAGACTTAACTCATAAATAAAATATAATAAATAAAAGTTATGCAGCATTAAACTGAAAAAATTATTTATTGTTAACATTGAGGCATTTAACACACAGTCAGACAATGTCATTTAAATTGAATTAAATCATGTGAACGCTGAGCTATTGAAAACGCATGAAATATTTGCAATGCAGATGACAGATGAATGATGTATTTAGGAAAACAAAATAAGAGCACTGTCTTTGTCAAGTATATTTAAAGCCTTACAAAAATTAAAATAAAATCTAAAAAAAATTGACAAAATAAGTAAATAAAATAAAATGGTAAGTCTGATTGTATATTCAAAATTAAGCCATTCGCAATTTAATATATATTTAGATAAAAATTAAATACAGCAAAATTTTCTCAAATAGAATGCAAATTAAAATTAAAATTAGCAGCTAATAAATATTTTAGCTAATGAATGAGCTATTCGAATTGCTTTTGAACTGCAAGTCGACTCCCCTTAGATACAAGCAGTACCTGGGGAAATGTGAATGCACTTTACACACCTGCTCAGTCATGTGTATAACATACAACTCACTGGATATACACACACATACATACATATTAATGCATTTTTACTGTACGGCGAAATAACAGGCAGCCGCAACGCCCTCGCCTGCCCTGCCTTATTTTCAAGGGTTTTGCTTGTTGATTTTAGTTAATGAATTAAGTTTGTTTAAAAAAAAAAATTTTTTTCTGATTTTTTTTTTATTTAATGTGAGTGAAGCACTTGCAAGCATGCAATGTCTGGAATAAATAGAAAACAACAAAAACAGCATAGAGTCACGAGGAAGAGAGAAATTTAGACGCAGTGCGAGGCAGGTTGATTATGGTTTATAAAAAGGTAACTAACTAGCAAAGGGCATGGGAGAAGACAACTTAAAGTGCACCAGACTGAATTGGGATATTGGATTTTATAGAGATAGAGATACATATATAATTGTGTTATTTTGTTTCGTATTTTTTTTTTTCTGTATTTTAGTCTGTGGGCGTGTCAGACACTCACCTATCCCTCAGGCAAATTTTGAATTCATGCTGTGAGTCGTGGTCGCTGTTGCAGCTATCATTATAATTAACGGCAGCCTGACGTTCTCTTTCCTGTTGCTGTTGCAAGTTGATCAGCTGTTTGTGGAACAGTTCCTGCTGTGATTGCAGCAGTTCCTGATGATGATCCTGCAGCGCGGCCAAATGTGATAATTGTTGCTGATATGGCGATTGCTGCTGTTGCTGCGTCTGCGGACTATGTTGCTGTGCTTGTTGTTGTTGTTGCTGCTGCTGCTGCTGCTGCTGCTGCTGTTGTTGTTGTTGCTGATGCTGCTGCTGCACCGCAGGTGAGACTGGCCGCAACGGTCGCTGATAGGGATGATGATAATGATGCTGCTGATGTCTGACAGGCGCATGACCGTTACTCGATTTGCCCGCCTGTGCATTATGATTGAGCAGGTGCATATTTTGGCTGCTACGTCGATGCGTTAACAGTGTTAGACAGCTTTTCGTATCCACATCGGCCAGCCCAAATTCGAGCTCAGCTTGCGCCTGCTGTTCGTAAGCATGCTGCGCCTGTTGCAATCTTTCACGTTCGCTGCGCGGCGAATTGGCCAATTGTTCGGCAGGTGGTTCGATCTCAACAGCTGAATAGTCATAGTCCAGCTGGTGCCGTGTACCATGATGATGCTGATGTGCCGGATGGTGTGCATTATTTGTTGGCTTATTGCCTGTGGCATTGGCCGTCACCGCACCGGTGCCCGGCGTCGCTTTGGCTATTTTGCCAGCCAACGCGTCCAGAGAGCTGAGCATGATCCTCTTGTTAACTAATTGCGGTGCCTGCGCTGCGCTGCGCTGATAGCTCTCTAGCTTTGAGTATGTATATGTATATATATATAGTTATATATATATATAGATGCAA